ATAGAAGAAACTAACAGAATAGAACATGATTAATAAATGTATCTTCTTCGAATTAGACGGGTTGACATGAAACATAATCTATTGTCGTCCTATGAAGTTTACAGAATGACATGACGACTAAAACAACGGGGAAGAGATTAGACTTTCAGACTTGAGAGAGAGAGAGAGAGATGCATTATTTTAGGCGTCCGAATTTTACAGAGTCACAGCGGAGAAAAAAGATGCGGCAGTTACACTTTGATTTTCTAATATTGTCATCGGTTGCTTGCACTTCTCTCTTTCTTCTTCATTGTATTGAGTTTCTGTGTGTTTCGGATCGGCCTCATTCATTCTCGCACTCACTCTCTCACTCACTCTGTCACTGTGCTTGTGAAAAAGCCTGACTGAATGAAACTAAGTATTAGGCTAATGATAATAACAGAGGCTCAAACCAACCATCCTCCCTCTGATAGGATTTGATTTGAGTTAAGGTTCTTTTAAGGGAAGGAAGGAAGGTAAGGGGCAGAGTGCGTCGGCATTTGCATTTCGGACAAAAAAGAAAAAAAGAAGATGAAGATGGGCAACAAGAAAGAGGTGATTCGATTAGAGCGTGAAGCCGTGATTCAAGTTCTCAAGCCCAAACTCATCATGACCTTGGCCAACCTCATCGGTTCCTACTTTTTCCTTTTCAACTTTCTCTGCTTTTCTTCTTCAAATATTTGTTGTTGTGGCAGCCACTGTGGCAGTGTTCATGCCATTGCCTCCTGCCTTGCTACTTTTGTAATCTTTGCTGATCATGCTACTTAACTCAAGTTTCCATATTCTGCAGAACAAAGTTCTGACCGGGCTGAGTTTCTAAAGCTCTGCAAGAGAGTCGAGTACACAATTCGGGCTTGGTATCTCCTACAATTCGAGGATTTGATGGTAAGCCTTCATGTTTTCTGGTCCCTATTGACACACAGAACATTCATATATAGAATTTGATTCATTTTATTTTCTCATGTTATTATTATTATTATTGTTATAAAAATAAAAATAAAAATTGGGCCACTGACTATCGCAAATTAAGTTTTATTTAACACGTCTTGTCTTTACAGCAACTATACTCCCTCTTTGACCCTGTACACGGGAGTCAGAAATTGGAGCAACAGAAGCTTTCTCCTGAAGAAATTGATGTACTTGAACAAAATTTCCTCAAGTACTTATTTCAGGTTCTCTGGCTGCTCACCTTATTCATTTTTTTTCCCCTTATATGCCCGCCCCATATACAACAACCGAAAGAAACACGAAAGAACTGGAAAAAAAAAAAAGAAAAAAAAAAGGAGAGAAGAGAAACAAGAGCTATTGTCACAACACAATCCTCAAAAGGGTAATCTGTTTTTGAAAGTATAATAATAGCTAAACAGTATTTGCACTGCAAGAATAGAATCAAACCATATCCTTTTACTATAGCAGCAAGTATGAATTTTTTTAGAATTCCCATTGTTATACAGGTGATGGAAAAGAGTAATTTTAAGGTTGCAACTAATGAAGAAATTGAGGTTGCACAGTCAGGGCAATATCTTCTAAATCTTCCCATCGTGGTTGACGAGTCTAAGGTTTGTACTTACTAAAATGTATTTGTAACTTTCAATTCAGTGAGTGAGATGCTTTATCAATATTATATTTGTTAATGTAATTTTGATTTGTTTTGTAAGCGGCCTTCGCATTTGCTGATCCCATTATAATATTGTTCCTGCTGAATGTAGCTTGACAAGCATCTTTTGAAGAAATACTTTGACAACCATCCTTACCCAAACATGCCAGATTTTGCTGATAAGGTATCTCAAATGTTGCCTAAAAATCTGCAAACATTTGGAAGTTCTAAAGCCTTCTTAAGATTCTGAGTTGCTGATCATGCAGCATAAATTACTGCTGCACATATTGCAATTGTCTGCCTTTTCCTTATTTGATGTTTTTTTAAAGCCTTTTTCTCGCTTCAGTACATTATCTTCAGACGCGGAATTGGACTAGATAAGACAACCGATTACTTTATCATGGAGAAAGTGGACATTATCATTGCACGTTTCTGGGCATTTCTTTTACGAGTAACTAAGTAAGTGCGATTCCGAACGTGGTCTGTTATTCACCTTCACTGGAATATGCATATTTTTGGAAGTTATGATTGAAATTTCTAATTGAGAATAGTGAAGTTGTGAACAACTTTTAAGTAATTTAAATGAGTCTAAATTTGAAGTATCATCTATTGCATAACTCTTGTTCACATAGCTGACAGAGATTTCAATAGTTAATGGTGTTATTATTTTCGCAGGGCTGAAAAGTTTTTTTTGAAAAGGCCAAGTGTACAACGCGAGAAGGATCCAAAAAAGGATGATGATCTTATCGCTGAACAAGATGAAGAGGACTTGTTTGTAGAACGAATCCGTCTTGAAAAAATGCAACTAAGGTTGACTATCATGCCTTCCCTCTGTTAGCACAATACAACAGAAATTACACTTTTCTTTAATTAAGAAAAACAACTGATTCCACATGAATTCAACATGGATAAGAATAATAACTGGAAACATGTCTTCGATTTCCCTGCAAACATGCCTTTGATTCGATTTGAGTTGAGTTTCTCATCTCATTCTTATGGTGATTACTGCCACCTTGTGTCCTCCAGCATTCCAAATTTGCTGAGCAAGAACACAATCCAAGAGCCAACTTTTGATAGGATTATCGTTGTTTACAGGTACTTTATTTTTAATTAATTATTGTTGTGCATATTGTTTTTGGGAACAATTTTCATCAATTTGGTTGATATTCTTGTCACAAGGTGGGGCATATCATGTTGAGAGTATTAAATTAAATTATTTAAAATGAACGTGTAGTCTCCTTCCTCGTTGCTTGATACGACTATAATTCTATCAAACTAAATTATGACTGTTTCAGGCGAGCAAATAGTGGATCCAGAGATCAAGCAGAACGAGGAATATATGTTAAACATTTCAAAAATATTCCAATGGCTGATATGGAGATTGTTCTTGTGAGTCTCTTTCTCTGCCTCTGCGTCTTGTATTCCTCATAGCTAGCCTTCTGTTCATTTTCTTTTATATTTTTCCGGTTGAAGTATACATAGGCAACTAAACTAATGAGCTGGTGCATGAAACCTTTTGGCTTTTACAGCCTGAGAAGAAGAACCCAGGATTAACGCCAATGGATTGGCTCACCTTCATTGGCTCTGCTGTAGTTGGGCTGGTCAGTTTCTTGATAGCAATGAAGTTGTTTGTGTCTTGGTGCACTGGTTGTTGTCAATTTTAAATTTTGTAGAAATGCTTCTTTCTGTACGTACAGGTTGCTGTTGTTACTTCGCTTGAAATGCCTAAAGTTGATCTTTGGGTCATTTTTGCAATTATTTCCACTGTGATTGGTTACTGTGCTAAGACATACTTCAGGTGAAGTCTCTTATTATTATACTTGCTGTTTAGATATGAACATTTTTCTCTGGCAAGTGAACCTGATCGATGATTGTCTCTGTCTCCATTGATCATGACAATATACTAACGGGAGTTTTGTTTCATAATCTGTATCTAGTTTTCAGCAGAACTTGGCTCAATATCAGAACTTGATAACACAGTCCATGTATGAAAAACAACTGGATAGCGGAAGGGGTACTCTTCTTCACTTGTGCGATGATGTGATTCAACAGGAAGTAAGCAAAGCAGCGAGCTTGAGAAGCTCTCTCTGTGAATTTTCAGTGGACATTAATTAATAATTTTTATTGATGCAACTAATTGAAAATGATAGAGACACAAATCTACGTATATGTATACATACATAACATGCATACATACATTATACAAATATATAGAATAGGAGATAAGTGCCCTCTATCTACCCTAAAGACTGAACAGATAAAAATGAAACTTGATTTGAGATTTTAAATTAGAATTCATGCAGGCTTCAGTTCAGATGCAGGAATGGATTTATGAATCACTGGTACTGGTACTCCATTTGAATTTAAGTTTTGTATGTGCGTGCAGGTGAAGGAGGTGATCATTTCTTTTTATATATTAATGGAACAAGGGAAAGCTACCTTACTAGTATGCATCCCTCTCTTACATCTCTCTTCCGAGTCCGACTTAAACATTTTGTCAACCTCCGAGTTACTTCTTGTTTTTATTGCAAGGCAAGAAATATATATATATATATATATATATATATATATATATATATATATATATATATATATATATATATATATATATATATATATATATATATATATATATATATATATATATATATATATATATATATATATATATATAATAATTTTAATATTTGGGGACTATTTCTTCTAGGATCTGGATACGTGGTGTGAAGAACTAATCAAAGAACAGTTTAACGACCACAGTAATTTCGATGTGGACGATGCAGTTCAGAAGTTGGAGAAATTGGGAATTGTTACTCGGGTAAGGCTCCTACCTATGCTATGGCCTCCTCCTCCTCCTCCTCCTCCTCCTCATCAAACATATTCCATTTGAACCCTAAATTAATTACCGCTCCTCAACTCTTTTACCATGGTTGCTTAAATAAATATAGGATACCCTTGGACGATATAACTGTGTTGGGCTGAAACGTGCTAACGAGATCATTGGCACCACCACTGAGGAGGTTGTCCTTAAGGCAAAACAAGATGCCACTGCTACTGCTTGATCTATCTTTATTCTTGATTCTTGTCATGTTGGCAAACTGAACAAGTTACTTGGGCTGCAGGCGATGATGATTCTGCTTTCTCAAAACAGCCCTTCTCCTTCAGTAGGCTACAATCCTAGATCATTGTATTGTCTCTGAGATGAGATGGATGGAAGATTTTAACTCTTTTTTTTTTTTTTTTTTTTTCCTTCTTTGGAATAATTGGTCGTTTGGTAGTAAGCAATTAATAAATACAGCCTTAGAGAGATGGGTTTAGTCAATTATTCCGTTCTTTTCACATCTGGCTGGTTTTGCACGGTTCAATGAGTTGATCAAAACAAATACAAACAAAAAAAAGTCGATGAATTTACAAAACAGAGTCTATGAAATTGCTCTGTAAACAATTGACATCTCCGAACGCACATAGCAAAGCCTCCAGAGTCAGAGTGTAGTCTGTAGAGAGATTGTTACAATCTTTACTCTTTAAGAATCAATAGAAAAGAAGAAAGAAAAAATAAAGGCAGAGGCTGACACTTGAGGCAGATGCAGTTTAAGTCATTTTTGATGTACAAACAGAAATGAAAACTGAAATGATCTGAGCAAATGGGGGTTAGTTAACTTAGGACTCAGGAGGAGGAGTAGACTAGACTAGACATGTGTTGGAGAAGCATCGACCTGGCCCTGTTCACGGTGTTAAAGCAGAGGCATATATGCTCCTCAAGTTCGTTGAGGAGGTGGAGGAAATTGGGGTGGCTCTTGCTCAGCTGTTTGAGCACCTCCTGAATCGGATGCTTGTCGGTGGCAGTTCCAGTGACAGAGCCCCTCTCCAATCCAAGGCGAATCAGAAGCTTGTCTCCCTCCACCGCCGTGTGTAGACGGCGAACAAGGCGGTCAATGGTGGCAAGATCATTGTTGAGGACACAAGTACCCATGGCGGCAGCATCAAGTTGGTTCATATGGGCAACCTCCTTCTTCTCAATGGCAGTCATCATGCTGCTGCTGCTGCAACCGCAACAAGAAGAGCCAGTGCCATTGCCAGTGGCGGTGGGAGTGCAGCACAAAGGCGGCCCTGCAACAACGACGAGGGCGGCAGTGAGGGCATGGACAGTGACGGCGACGGCAGAGACGGCGACTCCGAGGGCAGTGCCAATGAAGCAGAGGGCGGAGGCAAGAGTGGCGCGGCGAAGGAGGCGGATTCTGGAGCGGGAGGAGCGGAGGCGGGCGTCGAGCTGGTGCTTGAGCTGGGAGAAGCAGCGGAGCATATCGTCGAAATTGTGGGAGTCGGAATCGTCAGGGGAAGGGAAGGGGTTGTCGTGGCGGTCGAATTGGAGAAAGACTTCCAAGGCCCGACTGCACTGGGATTGGCTGAGGTTGAGGCTCAGAGACTCCTCCTCCGACTGTACAACGTCGAGGAGTTGATGGAGAGGCGCATAGAGCTCACGCGCTCGATAGACGTAGCGGTGGAGCATGAGGCATACTTGGGTGGTGTTTTCGCTCTGGTCGAAGTAGTCAGAGACCAGACGGGTGAGGGAGTTGGGCTTGGCTTGGCGAAGCGCCTCTTCCACGCACTGTCGGTTGGGCTGAAGCACTTGCTCCAAAAGAAGCCGCTGCCTCTGCCTCTCATGCTCCGAGTTCGAATCCAAGTCCCCCTCCACCTCATCATGGTGGTGGTGGTCTTGGACCTCATGAATCCTAGACCAAATCTCATTGTAGGACTGGGTTTGGACGGCGAGCCTGTACTCGTGGGTGAGAGTGGCGGAGGGCGAGGCCTCAGAGCTCGTTCCTCCTAAATACCAATTACCAAATTGAATTGATTAAGTACGGATCAATCATACAAAGAAATTATATCAAGTAGAAATGCAGCAAGTGAAGCAATTGCAAAGCCCAGAGCTTGGTTGGCAGTTGGTACCTTGCGATCGGGGAGGTGGGGGAGGATGAGAATGGATATCGGGAGCCGCAGCTGCAGCAGCTGGTGAGGTTGAGGTTGTTGACGACGATGATTTCAGAGAGAGACATTGCAGCATATTAGAAATTAGAATGAAGGAATGAATCGCGATTTCTCGTCAATTACAATTTACAGGTACTCCCCTCAAAACTTTAAAATTACTGAACGGGAAAAGCTTTACTTTTGCTCTTCTTCAGGTTGTGTTTCCCAAATTCTAATTGACTGAACAAGCACAAGCCACCCTGAGGTTGAACCCTGCTCCATTTCAAGTCTTGAGTCTTATCTATGATTTCTTGTGGGTAAAATAATAATAAACACAAATGTAACTAAAACCTCAACCCAACCTCCATCCAATTCCGATGTAATGTATATTAACAACAAATAATGGTTTATTATACAACAACACTAGTAATCCATTTATATAAAGTAAAAATAATCAAAAAATAATGCCAGCCCTTCTTTATACACTTATCAAACAGCTGAATCTCTTCTTCTCTAATGTTTCAGAAAGGAAAAAAAATAACAAGTAATACAATTTCCCTTTTCTTTTTCAAGAAAACAAAAAACACGTATTTCACAAATATCACTCTTAACTGTTTGGCTGCTCGCTGTTTGTCTTTTATTTTGTTGCTCTAAATAACTGACTTCCTGGGATCACAGTGGAGGGTCCTTCCCCCATGATTGTTGTCAAGCTAATCTCTTTCTCGTGTATTCGATCTAGCTCCATTACCACATTGCTCATGGCTGGTCGCCTCTCACTTGAAGGTTCCAAACATCGCATTATCAAGTGTATGAACCCTTCCATAGCTTCACCTGTGAAGCTATTCCCCAATCTCTCATCAATGATGCACGAAACATTGCTATTATCTTGGATGTTTTGCACCTTCATACAGTACAAAAACATAAAACGACTTAGTTTAACATTTTCACACATCCAACAACAAGTCACAAACCTAATAAGATGCAGCCTTTTTCAAAACTTTGCTGATAACGAGTTATTTAAGTAAGAAAAAAAAAACACAAACAAACAGTGATATTTTGAAGTGGCAGAAATAAGTAAATAACTTGCATGCATAGGATCATATAACTAGTATACCAGCAACCAACTCGCACTCAAACTTGGTCCTTCACTAATGATCTAGAGAAGAGAAGCCAAGCCAATATAAGTACATAAATTGCATGCATAGGATCATGTGACTAGGCATTCCAACACTTAAATAGCATTTCGTGAAGGCAAGCACATACCCATTCAACCAGGTTCTGGTTTGAGTCGGAAGATGCCAATTCTCCTGCTTCTCGCCCACTTACTAACTCCAGAAGGAATACACCAAAGCTATATATGTCACTTTTCTCCGAAAATCGTCTAAACTCTCTCACCCTGCAAAAGTGAATGGAAATCTGGCTAAAACTGATAACTTTCCTTTACGGGGACTTGAAAGGTTATATAAAACACGGACAACAAAAAGATCAATACCCTTCACCACAACCCCACCTCAATCTTCTCCAAAAGAAAAAGAAAGAAAAAAAAACAGAGAGAGAGAGAGACTAATACTCTGGAGCAAGGAACATCTCATCAGCAGTCACTTGAGAAGATGAGCCTGCAATATCAACTCTTCCAAGGAAATTGCGGATTCCTGCATCTGCAACCTTAGCTAGTAGATCTTCGTCTACAAGAACATTGGCTGTTTTAAAATCTTTATGCACCAGACGGGGACTCGAAGAGTGAAGATGAGCCAAACCTGCAAACAGAGAAGATCAATAAGTCCTAATAAATAGGAGAGCATTGCTTCCAGACTTCTCACATCAGAAGCTGGAAATTTAGAACAATTAAAAGTCTTACAGCATCTGGCAAAAGAATTTGAGGGACCAATACTGATATTCTGATATTTTATCTAAAGAGATGAAAACCTGATACCAGGAAAGCCACAAATGCTCACTGATTTTGCAGAGGATCACCTTTAGCTGCCCCTAGAGCTATTGATAGTCGGTTCTTGAATTCTAGCTTTTTACGTGAATGCTGACCAGTGCCTGCAAAGGAAAAATTACATAGCCACATGATCAATTTTAGCATTATAGATGCAGCAATTGCATAAATTTCTAAGGTAACAACAAAATAACGGAAGGGTTTTGTACGAAATACAGTACTGCATTTATAATGAATTGACACGCATATCACATGAAGTTAAAGAAACATTTATATGCTAAGCAGAGATTTATATCACCAGCATAATTTTGTCTCATAAAATAAAAAATGGTAACTGGATAGAGGGTTACCATACAGGTGACTGGAAACACTTCCACTATGAATATACTCGTACACAAGAAACTGTAGATTATTTTCCTGGCAGTAACCCAAGAGAGTAACAATATGCCGATGCTGAATAGCTGAGAGATAGTGTACCTGATATAATAATCAGTTTAGTTAGATCAACCCATGAGACAATGTTTAGTGCAAAAACATAAATAGGAATTCAAAGAGAGAGAATAAACTAAAGCATAACCAGTCCATCAAATTCATCAGGAGAGAAAAGTTGGTAAGGAAGACAAAACACGTTCCAAAACAAAAACTTATTCAGAATTTGCCACCAGAACTTGTAAATCCACTTCAAACACTTTATTAACACTTTTTCTTTCACCTGTAAGTGTAGGACTGTGATAATTACCTCATTGATAAATTCCTGACTAGGTGTTCCAGGTCGCCTTTTGATGGCTACAAGCATCCCATCTTGAAGAAAACCCATATATACCTCCCCAAATTTTCCTTCCCCAATCAAGTTTGTATTACTGAAATTTTTTGTGGCCAGAGACAATTCTTCCATCTGAAAACGCCTTGTTTCTTGCATTGACAACTCAACCCCAGCATGTCTTCCCACTGCAAGTTATTGAAACAGATAATCAAAAAGTTGTTCTTTACACTGAGTTTATTTCCTTTAGAAAACCTACATGATTTAATAGTTACCTTGAACAGATGGATCAGAAGAACCTGTTTCAGAAGTTCTGGATACACTCCTATTGTGAGATAGACAGAACCAAATGAGTATGATAGTTATCCCCACCAAAGTCACGGCTCCTGCAGCACCTCCTAATATTGCTGCAAGAGACGCTGACATTTGGTATGGGAACCACTTCAACTATGCGGGGTAATATTATTGTAAAACGAATTACCATACATTGAACCTGGAATACAGAGGATACAAAAAATCAGAAGATCATAATCTAGGGGGAAGATATGAATAGAAAGCAAGTGACATTTATATCCATTAGATATCTATTTCTTTTCTAGTTTCTTTCTTGTTTCCTTATTATTGCTCCATCATCAGATGTCTAAAAAACAAGTTGGGTAGCAAGTTTTAACACTGGGATTGAGAACCAAGGGTGTAAAATTTCTTCGGAAATATTCTGAATGGAATTAAGCAAGGCACAAAGCAGTCTTTTAGAACAAGCAAATTACACCTGAAAGTTTAAAGCAATAGAACCGCAAAGCACCTGACTAATGAGTAAATGGCAGAATGCATGCAATGAATTTTGAAATCAGAGTTAAAGCCTTTGAAATTAAATAAAATAGCATGCCAGCTGATTTAATAGTATATAAGGTCATATACATTCAAAAGACAATAAAATTGCAGTACACTTGGCAAACTCTGGAAACAATGTATTGGATTGACTGAAAAACATGCATATTAGGATAGGATCTGATTTAAATGAAGATTAATCTAGATAGAAACGGTATTAATGAAATATGATCTGAGTCAACTTCAAACCTGCACTCCCAGAGAAGTAACCCAGCCAGATGTCTAAAAACTCGAGCTTCATTTGCCAATGACAACACGAATGAGCCTCCCAGTACAATTGTTGTCACCCAAATGAAATTTCATCACATTCCCACATGGAAAGTGAAATGGAATACTTTTGTTTGCGGTAAAACCCCAGCAAGGAAATCAAAGTTAGTCAGCAAGAAAGGAAAAGAAACCCAAATAAAAGTAAGGACAACTAAAGAGGAGGATATGCAGGCAGGCATCAAAAGTAAAGAAACCCAGTTATGATCAAGAGTTGCGGTTGATAAAGTATAAAGAAAGAGGCATGAATATGCAGGTCGAAATCAAAATGTAAACAGAATCGAAGCTGAGAAGCATCTATCTCTGGTGTATTTTTGATTAAATTAATGGGAAATGCAGTCTGTTGATCATCGTTGGATACAGACAATGCCGACAGAAAGTGACCCTGCGCCGACAACAGTACTACTTCCCCCTCTACCAAACCACCCAACTCAACTTCATCAATATAAACATATATGTGGTAGACCCACAAGGAAATTAAATAGAAATTAAAGCCCTTTATATTATTTTGATAGTTGAAATAGACAGAGAGAAAACCCCATGCAAGCAAGCAAAGTTGATTTTGAAGCAGGAAGAGAATAAAAATGAAGTATGAACAGAAGAGAGAGAGAGAGAGAGGGAGAGAGAATGTGTGTGTCTGTCAATCTGCGTGTATTTGTATTTTTATATAATTTTTTAAAATGAATTTAGTTTCTCTCTTTTATGTGTGGGCTGTAAAGCAGAATAATAGTTGTCTGCTACTGCAAGTTGAGTTGAGAGAGAGAGAGAGAGAGGTTTTCATTTCATTCGGTTTGTGTCGTGTACAGCAGTACAGGGCATCTTGGCTGTAAACAGATTTGCAAATTACAGTGCTGCTGCTGCTGCTGCTGCTGCTGCTGCTGCTGTTGGTAGACTAGTGGTAGTGGCACAACAACAAAAACAACCCACAAGCCAAGCAGCGCATACACAGAAAAGAAAAGACAAAGACAATAGCGCTTGACTGCAGCAACAAGTTAGTTAAAGTTTTGCCCAAATATAGGGTCGGTATATATCTTTTCACATAAAGCATTCAACAAGGAATGTGTGAGAGAGAGAGAGAGAGAGAGAATCAGCTGGGCTGGGGCTTGTCTTGTAGGGTTGCTATCAGGACCAGCCAGCTATCAGCTATGTTGACATGGCTCCTACTGAACAATTAAATAAGGCCTACACATAACTATTATTAAATCAAATACATACAAACCATAAGCAAAGGTAACCTATACGCCTCTCCTGCCCCTTTCACCTTTCACCTTTTTTTTATTATAATTATTTTGCTCATGTAAGCTCTTCGGATTCTCATTCATTCCTCTTACCATATCATTAAAATGATGATGATGATTACTAATAATATTATTTAAGAATTGTTGCAGTTGCGGTGCTTCAGTTTCTTTACATACCAAAAAACAACAAATTTCTCTAATTTTATTTTTCCTTGGCTCTTGTCTTGTCTTCTTGAACAAACAAAAAACAAAAGATCCAATCCAAGAGAAGAAGCTGCAATTGTTTGTTGCGTTATATATAGTGTGAGTATGATTGGAGGTTCTTTAATCTCCTCGACTGAAAATGTGACACCAAACAAAATGGCAATGATATTAAATCAATATATAATGATAATATTGATAATGCAGGAGGGAGGAACCATAGATAGAAGCTTCATCTCTTAATGTCAACGTCTAAAATTATTGCGGTTCAATAATTTGTTAATAGCAAGCTTTGACTTTGCCCTCGCTCATTCGTGTTTCACTTGATAATCTCGTAAGTTAAGTGACGACACTGGGTTGGGAGCGTCCACAAGTCCCATAAAAATAACCCATCATATGATCCCATCTGCAGGACAATATAAATTGGCAAACGAAACGAAAGTTGGGATCGGAAAGAGGCGGCTATGAGCTATCTATCAACTGGAGACATGGGCGGGAGGGATGGATGATGGTGTGTGGATATCTAATCTATTATTGACCGCACAGACAACACAATCAATCAAGGCTTTGAATTCAATGGTAATGTATACGATTAAACTTGAGAGGCCATATATATACAATTTACAAACAAGCTTACCAGTTAGTCCCCGCAATCCTTCTTCTCCAAGCCAAGACGGCCATGACAAAAAAAAAAAAAAAAAAACATAAATAAACAACCAGAAGATGATAAGCAAAGCATAATTTACATGAGGAAATATGTTTCTGATTCTATTCTACAATTACCAAGCAGCATAATTTACAAAATGTGAATCGCTCATGCATAAAATATGACCTCGAAATACAACCTTGCGGTAAAGCATCACTGCATACTATCGGAGTTTAACCCTTGCCTCTTCAAATGCTGCCTTCACTGCATTTCGAGTTACTTCCCTCTGATGACAAAGCTCCATTGCTGCTTCTGCTTTCTGAGCTGCAGACTTCAACCTTTTTTCAGTCTCAATCATGTCCTTAGCTGTCTCGTCCACTCGAGTCTTTAGCTCTGACGTCTCAACCTCACAAAGAGACAGCTGGTTCTCAATTTGAAGCAGCATTTCCTTTACTCGGGAAGCCTCCTTACGAAGGGACTGTAGGTGATGATCAGAGGTTGTAAAAGCACCCACTGTATCATCATGGGTGCGCGAAATATTATCAAACCTATCTACCTCATTGTGGTACCCCTTGATGAGCTCTTTGGAAGAGAGGTCATTACGAATGGACCGTTCTACTTCAGCAAGTGATGATGCACAAGCAATGAACTTCCTTACACGCTCAGAAAAACGTCTATAGTCAACTGAGAGATGGTCCAAAGCAGCAAAGGTGCACTCCGCTGCCCGCGTCATGGATTCATGCTGAAGTGGATCCATGGACTCAAGAAGAGTGAGCAGCAGATTCTGAATAGGCAAGGCTGCTTGCTCAAGTGCCTCCACAATTTTTCCTGTTACAACACTATCTTGTAATGGATCCAAAAGATTTTTTATGCCTGAAAGCTCGAAAAGTACACCACTCAAAGGCCGAGCATCATCCTCACTATGCATTTGTGGTGATACATGGAAATTAGAATGTGAAGGACTATGAGGAAGGTCAACCAACCCTTCCGAATGAGATCCATATATCTCCTTAGGAACGAAACTAGGATCAAGTGAGGGGAAAACACCTATTAGAAATTCGAACTGGAGTCAGAACCTAAGATGACAAGTGGACAGGAAAAGATAAAAAGAAAAACGGTACGTACAATCATACTTACAACAAAACTTAGGCTTGGATAGAGGTACTGTTAAGCATCCAGAAGGGGTGAAAGCAAGCCGGCCCAACCAACCGAATATCTGAAAATCTAAAATTTGATGGGTACGATCTTTCCCCCAACCTTTATCCGGAAAAAGAAAAATCAGAATGACAATGCAGCAGTAACAGCAGGAAGATAATTTCTACCAAAAGAAAGTCACAGAAGGAGAATGTTAATACTGGACAGCTACTCCAACAAAGAAACATAGAAGAAGATACCTCCCGTTAGTGTATCTCCAGCAACAGAACTCTGCCTCCAAAACTCTATCTGTTGATGATGAATTTCGGCCTGCATGGATGTTTTCTGAGAAACATGGGGTGCTTTCTCTATTATAGGATCCAATAAACCTTCCTCCTGCCCGATTGGGTCGTGGAGATGCTCCCTCACAACAACTTGTAGATTTGAAAAATTTGTTGAGTTTTTCATATTTGAAGTATCGTCATATTCTTCTCTCCGTGACAGAGGTTCTTCTTCAATCTCTGATGAGCCAAAAGGTACAAAATTGAAAGTTGAATCAGGTTGAGGGTTGTCAATCTCAGCAGACTCAAACGTCATCCTGTTTGGATGCTCAAAACTTAGTTCCTCGTTCTCATCCAAGTCATAGTTTACAGTCTCAACGACTTCATGACAATTCAAAGAGGGCTTGAGAGATCCATCATGTTCGCTTTCATCTAGACAAGAAGTGAGTCGGGTATTTGCTTGACCATCATACCATAGAAAGAAGGGGCAAGCGCCATGACCCTGTCCAAGAGTCAGAAATCAATGCACATCCATATATGATAAACACAAAAACCAAGCGGAAGTATGCAAAACTCAAAAACTGAAAAGCTACGCGAGTTAGAACTAGAGAACTAAAGGACAGATAGCAGGTTGCATAGCGCGGGTGAATGAATTTGTTTCAGACCTCCATGCTTACTTTTATCTTAATCCATGGGAGAAAGAGCATTTGGAACCGAACAAGACCCACTTACACAGGTTTGCCAAGAAAATGTACCCAGACAGAGATGCGACCACCATCGGACGCAAGCCCTCAGAAGTTAAATAAACCATGTTAACAT